TGCAAAAATGATAAAAAATAACTATAATGCAATTATTTAGTTGTATCAGTGTAATGCTCGAAAACGTAAAATATGTGATTGAAAACAAAATATATGAGTACGAATTTTAAAATTTTCTTCTTAATATTTATTGAAGTTTAGATAAATAGAAATTTATTATAATGTAATTAAATTCCTTATAATTTTATTCTGTAAATTATTTAATATTATATTAAATTCTATGTAATATACAGAAAAGTGTAAATTCTCAGAAACTTTCAATACCAAATGCATATTTGGGAATGTCTCTGAATATTGGAACTATAAGAAACACCAAATATTTTAATCGAATATAAAATATAAAGCCTGCTACATTATTTTCTGAAAGAATATGCTTAAAGTAAGACTTTTTTTTCTGTATTTAAAGAAAAGCAGCGAAAAGGAAGAGCGTGTTTATATAATTTTGAATTCTTCATATAACAGAAGAAAACGTCAGGAAATATCACATTCGATATACAATGTAGATAAGAAAAAGGAAAAGTAAGTAGCAATGCGCTCATTTCAAAGAAAATAAAAAACGGAGTCGTCTCAACAGTTTCTCAGTAATTTATTCTTAACGTGATATTTTAAAATGCAAGGAAAAATTTCCTTTCTTTTCATGTATTTTTTATTGTTGATTCGTATTTTTAAGATGATAAAACATTCCATTTTCAACACCAGTATTTCTGTTTACTAGTTTCTGACATAACAGTTATTTAACTGATATGAAGAAATTTCGATCATCATTATAACTTTTTTTATTCAACTGAATATCCCACTAAATATTGAAGGTAATGTTCATAGGAATGTTTCTATAATATTCTAGAGATTGCCATTTTAAACATTTCTTTCAGGTCTTACTGAAAATACATGCAATTTTCTATAAAACTTTCCTTCAATTATTTTAACTGCAGCAGTGTTGCAGTATCTAAAATCGCAGAATGCGAGCCATTAGGCCTCATCAAGGATTTACATTTTAGAGGAGAAAATGGATGAGAGTTTTTGATATGTGGAACATAAATATAGATCATTTACTTTTAAAATCTTATAATGCACCGATAGCTTGCTCTGCGTTAATCAAATAACCTAATTGTTAAAGGTACAACGGCAACAAGAATCAGCGTAATTTGCATTAATTTACAGTAGTAGTTTCGAAGGTTAAATAGAAGCAACCAACTTCTAGTACAAAGGAGTCAAAATGGCGAAGGGAATGCATGCTTTCACTCGATACTAGAGATGGACAAAATCGCTATAGGGATCCGATCGGAACCGTTCGCTCTCTGAAGTGAATCAGTTCTTTATACAGATTCACCGCTCACTGACAATGACCTAGATGAATGCGCTCGGAACTGGGAGGGATCAAGAGCAGTGTACAAAAATGGCGGAAAGAATTAAACAAGGACTCGGATTATTACAATCAACTCAACCACACCGTTCACTCAGTGAACTGATTTCTTTCAACTGTGCTTTTGAGATTCCCTAAAACAAACCTTTCTACATAGAACAATGGTAGTTACATACCTAAAACAAACCTTTGCATAGAACAACACTTTTGTATCCCAGAATAAAATTATGGGATACAAAAATGCTAGAAGTTAGAAAAAATTCAAACTAAATTCACTTATGTTAAAGATTACATAGGTTTATTACTATAAATGATATTTTGTTGCTACTACGAAGCACAGTTAAAAATAAATTTTTAGATTGGAGGCAGATGCCAAAGAACAGGAAATTGCCCGCTGACAATACCGACATTTTCCTTGTTTTTATCTAATTTGACAAAATGATACCAAATATCACTCGGGTTTCTTCTATTCGGCAAGGTTCACATTTTGTTCTGCAACCTTCAAAAAACATATTAGATGGAAAAATTTATGCTTATAAATTTATACTAATTCTAAAAATGATTAAAGAGAAATTCACAGGTCTTGATTACAAGACGTTAGTAAAATTAGTAAATAAATAAAAGTATAATGTATTATTTATATACTTTGACACAGTATTCAAAGAATCGACATTGAACTCAAATTAACGGCTCCGAGGAAGCGAGAAGAGCAAACAATCGAGAGTCCGCAAGAGCCAGATCCGCGGCTAGAGCAGCAGCGATGAGAGGGAGGATAATCACGATCCCGAAGGACCCAGATCTGCTATCCGTCAAACAAATGTCGTTGAAGACTTAATATATATATATCTTCAGAAAATATTGAAAACTTTATACCTGACCAGATTTATGCCAAATATTCGTTTCATGGGCATAGCAAGAACGACCTAAATTTAAAGCTTTTCATGTGCTGAAAGTATGAGCAAAACACCTGCGTGTTTTTTTTTTTTTTTTTTTTTGTTTTTTTTTTTTTTTTTTTTTTTTTTTTTTTTTTTTTTTTTTTTTTTTTTTTTTTTTTTTTTTTTTTTTTTTTTTTTTTTTTTTTTTTTTTTTTTTTTCTTTCTGCTTACGACGAGCATAATTCAGATTTAAAGCAAACTTTTATATTTGGAAAATTTGAAACAAATGTGGGTTAGCCCACGATTTCCGTATTTTGTCGTATATAAACAATTTTATGAAAGTTTACTATGTAGCCTTTAATGAAAACCCATAACAGTAAATATTCTAAAAATAGCGTATAAAACCATATATATGTACCCAAATTAATATTCTGCATTTATTAATTATTCTATATTTTCTTCCAAGGATCCATCGTCTGAGGACTTGGAAAACAGCGTTTTAAAATCTTAGAAAGTTGCAAAATACTGCTCCATCGCAAAATGTCTTTATATTTTGCATATTTTCGTTTGCTTATTTGTAGTATTTTTATTATATAAGTAATCATTTTGCAGATACTTTAGAGAGATGTAGCTAGCATATAAATAGGATACATAATATATGCTTGGAAACCACAGTTTGTTGATAATCATGACATAATTTTATTTTCTTCGAGAATAATTTAAGACTTATTTTCTTGGTTTCAGTATCACTATAGGTACTACAAGTACCCCACAATTCTGCCTTTCTCTTTTTCTTGTACTTTTATCTTTGAGGAGAGAAGCTGGGCAAAAGCTGGCTGGCAGACCTATGTGCAATTATTGGAAAACGCTACTTGCAACTGCTGCAGAAGAAAGCGATATAAACTGCTTCAGGAGAAAGCGATACAGTGACTTTCATGCAAGACAAGGCACCTCCTCACATCTCAACAGAAGCGTAGATGAGCGCTGGAGCGCTGACAACTGGGAATCCGAAGCTACTAGTTCCTATAATCTACGTACTTCAAACAGATCCTTGACTGCCAGATGGGAAAAAATAGCTTCAGCCGTTTGCAAACAGGGATGGTCAGTTTCCCTAAGACGCGTCGGTTATTTAATGTTTTGTTTTTTAAATGCTAAAGGAAACAAAAGCAAACAGAAAGGACACGTATGTACATACATAGCACACATACACACATAAAAAAATAGAGACGTTTCTGAAAAATAATAAAGGAAACAATGCTAGTGTTTACATTCCCAACAACAGCTCTCGGTCAGTTGTTAAAGAACTGTAGTTCCGGTTTCGCCGGAGCGCCGATCAGTAAAGTGAATCGGTTCTTTGAATCGGTTCCGGGGAGGTTCATCCATCTCTTTTCGAACTAAGACACAAGAAATTTGAGAATGTTCCAGTTATTTCCAGCTATGAAAAGAGAAAACAACGCCAGTAACCAACAGATGACGCTAAATTTATTTTGTCTATTGTTATCGTGTGTCTGCATAGTCATTTTATAACAGGTCATAGTCCAACGCCTGTATACTTCCATAGGTTCAATGTCTCAGAAACGAACATCTGCGTTTGTGGAATTGGAGTTTCTCCGAAGCATTAAAACTCACACTACCTATTGGAGACTCCGTCATCTGCGCAAATCAAGCAACTGCGACACAGCATGAAAAAAAAAAACTTATAATAAAAATTGTATAGCAATTAATAACATTTTTAGAAGTTACAACATAAAAGCATCGAAGGGCAAGATATATGTCAGGCAAGCTAAATTAAAATAATCATTATCTCATAACGTATTTTATTTTATTTTATTTTATTATTTATTTATGTCTCTATAATATTCTGAACTTTCTCAGCAGTGACAATGCTTACGTCAACAGAACGCTATTAACTAACGAACCTATAAACATTCTAAAACCTATTAAAAACTTTTAATTATAAACTAATAGCTATACAATATACAATATACAAATCAGCAATGTAGTCTACATTTTTTTACTTATTTTTTACCTTTCTTTACATGTATACCTTTATGTTGTATGTTTATATTCATGTATATGTTGTTTGTCATGCGTAGGTACATATTGTAAGTTCATGTTGTATATTAAGCTGCATGTTATGTTTAGTTTAATGATATAAGTATACATATTTTATTTTATAGTTCTATGAGCAAACCAAAGATGCCATTCTTTGGTTTGCTTATAGAATTATAAAATGTACTTTTGCGACCAATACAAAAACCATTAGCTATGCAAAACTTAAAATACCTGAACTCCTAGAACGGCATTCTTGTTGTTGTTGAGACATCAAGTGTCTTCGATCTCCGTTACCAGTCATCACCAGTCATTTTTTCGCTGAACTTGCGCTGAATCTTGTTGCTATAGATCTTTAACATCTGTCCTTCATTTTATTTTAGTTTACTTTGAGTAACGTAATTATCGTCCAAAATGTATCCTTGTAGGACTTAAAGTAAAGCACTTGCAATGATCTGACGTGGTAAAGTCATATAAATTAAACTAAAACATCAAAATATTATAGATGTTTTATTATTTTAGCTTTTGATCTGTAGGAGTGTATCATAGTAATTGTATTTTATTAGGTAACTCTACTGCTATGATTGTTCTTTAGTTATATAAATTGCGACATATTTTCTGATCTTTTTCTCTAAATAATAACGTATCAATCTAGTACTTTATTTAACTTAAGGAGAATTCACTATTAATTGCTTTTTATTTTTTTCTAGCGCCGACAGTCAGTACAGAAATGGCAGAAAAGTAAGTATGAAGTTATTAAATTTTTATATTATAAAGAAGCACAGTAAAGATACATTTTAAGTGTCGCATATTATTTTAAATGCTATTTACTATATAGTATAATATTTAAAGCAATGCTAAATAGTGTCCGGCAACATAAAGACAGACAAGCTAAAAACGAATAATAAGTATTTATTCATTCTTTCATTCATTTGCCCGCTCGCAAGCAAAGTGCGTAAAATCCGCTAAATCGTCCAGCAAATTTATTCGCATTCATACAGCTATTCCTCGTTGTTAATCTGTAATACTTTCAGCACTAAAATGTTGTTTTTCAAGTAATGTAAAGAATCTGCAACATTAATCGAATTCTTATTTTCTTGATTAGCCATTAAAATATTAGAAGCACTCTGTAATAACATAGAACAAAATGTATAAAAACTACAACCGGTTTTAAGTTAGACCACCTAATTAATTTTCATTTGTCAGATACTCAAATTTTAAAAGTTTACCCTAAGGCTACGCATGGGAAAGAATTGCCTTTTGTTCTTTATTAAAAAGTAATGTTGTAGTTGTATGATAGGATATTGCCACTAGTCATTACTTTGCTTAGGAGACAAAATGTGGTGCAAGAAGCACAAAAAACTGCATATGAGATATTTAACTGAGTGTTCCAGTAAAAGACCAACTCATACTAGTTTTTACAACGTGCCTTCAATCGCTGGATAGCCTGACAAAAATTCCAAATATGATAAAGCACAAATGCACACAGAGAGATCTTAAAATTTTATTTTGTCTCCAAAATAAATTTTGATTTAACGATATTATTAGAATTTGAAGGAACGTTATAAATAAATATAGCAAGATTAAATATAAATAAATTTAGTTCTTTCAGGCTCCTCATTACAGATTTGTTAAGCTTTTCTAATGGTTTATTTCCCGTTGTTGTGATTAAAAGATTACAAAAAATACTATTATTTAGAGAGGTTTAAAAAAGATTAAAAGTACAAAGATGTAAAAAAATTAACATAAATTTTTTATGCATATTTTATACAGAATTAAAATTTTATACCCTAGTTATCGATCCGAAATGTTTTTGCTGGTTACATCTTTAAATATCGTTTCCTACAGCGATAACTTAAAAAGTGATTTAAATTATATTAGTTAAAGTGATGTAAAAAAATAGGCGATAAAAGAAATATATAAATGTATTCTTCTAGCTTAGACAGGGAAAAGATCGATCGTTTTTGAAACTCTGTAAATGTTCATTAGGTAAATTTTTTTGGATCCCAGTGCAAATTAGAAAACATTATACATATAATGTTTTATATTTGCATTTACGCTAACAGAGATAAATTTTTTCTTGAATGTACCATTCACTATTTCTGACCATGAAACAAGAAAAATTAATTGTGCCTTCGCTGGGATTCGAACCATGTTTCTTCTAATGTTAAATGGATATGCTAACTCCCAGCAATACGAGAAGGCCATGAATGATTGCAATGATTCTTTACATTTTCATCCATTTTAAAAGCACCAGCGGCCGAGCGGTAAAAACGCTGAACACTGGTAGTTCGGTCCGAGGTTCGAATCCCTCAAACGGGCTGGCTGCATGGGAGTTTTCATGGTTGTACCCATGTGTAATGTGTATACGAGCCAGTTTCCCTTAGAAAGTCCTCCACGAAGGCATCCCTCCTTTTAGGCAGATAGCCCTCGTGTGCTTTGCCATAATAATCCATCCATCCATTTTAAAAGGTGACTGGGGAGACGGACGAGACCTAATTTACTATTTCCAATAGGCTAAGAGTTATCATCCATCGTTTAGTCGAGAGTAAACTGTAGAAAATCATAAAACATATCGAAACTGCAAAAAGTAAATAAATTAAAAAGAACGGAAAATTTACTGTTTTATCGCCGGATTCGTGCTATGGATCTCTCAGTCTTAACTGTACTTTTCAATCATTTATAATTCGAGCAGACGAAAGGGGAATTTATAAAACACACATTTTATAAAACATCTTCACATATTTTGAATTCATGCATTATTTCATAAATGAATAATAGATGAATATTAGTCATATTTTAAATTTTAATGGCATATAAAACTTTCAATTAGTATTATATTACAGTGAAGATAACTCCAGTATTCCTCTAAATGTGGACAAAGTGTGTACAGTGGGCAAATCATGCATCAAATAGGCGAAAAATTTAATTTTTTCCAAAATATAAGCCTTAAATTAAGTACTCGAAAACTGATTCCAAAAGTTAGTAAATATTAGCTGTAAATGTGACATTGTAATTATACCATGAGGAGTCTTTTTAATAATTTATAAGCGAATGTAGTGCAGATGTTGCCCGACAAAGTGCTGACTGCAAGTTCCGTATCATTAAGGCACTGATAAAGAGTTGGATTTTTTGGTCTCGTTTTATTGTCTTTTTATGCCAGACAGAATTCGCGTGGGTTATTGGTACATACCTACATCTTATTTTTTAAGTACATCGACATCCGGGTAATAAAAACAATAAAATATTTGAAAGTTTCTTGTTCCAAAATGTGATTCTAATTCCGGGAAACGGGCTTGGCTACTTTGGTGTTTTAGTATTTTTTTCCCATGTAACCTTAGAACTTATTTTTCATAGAACCTTCTTCACGAAAGCATCTCTTACCTTAAGTCAAATAGCTTTTGTTGCTTATCAAATAAACCAAACCAAATATAACACATGATTTATTTGAACAATTCAAACTTACGAAACTTTGCAGCTTTAGTCTCCTGTTAGAACACAAGTTAGTTCTTTGTCATAATCAAGGTCATCCATTTCATATTAAAAATTGTATTTATATCAAATATTTATGCAATTTCAAAATAATATACGAAATTAGTAATAAAGGTGAAAACACGAAAAGTTAAGCAAATTTTCTTTGATATTAACTAAATCTTTTAGTTCCGGAATTAATTTTAAAACGTTACTTGATAATTAATAAAATAATTTTATTTTACTTTCAAGCCGAATTAAAGTGATATTAACTTCTTGCAAAAAACAGCTTCAGAAAATTATTCAAAAGAGCACAACACCCGTGAAATTTGTTTTAAAGGAAAGAAAAATATATTAATATCTTTTCTTAAACCTCGAAATTCATTTGCTACAGCATAAAGAACCATTTTGGGAAATCATATATAATTTTAAATTATTCCCTGAGGATCCAAAGTAAATCTAATTTTTCAAAAACCCTTATACGCGAGCCGAACACAAGAATAATATGAAATTCCAAAGGGCATTTCTTTTCATTCCATACATCACTTTCGGTAAAAGAGCTTCAGCAATAACGAGTGGAAAGGAATATGTAATTTAGCCATGCAATTAACTGAATTTGAATAAATCCCTATTTCAAGAAAAAAAAAAATACGAACACTTATTCTAAGCCAAGCAGAGAAATGCGCAGCAAATAAATACGTTTCTTTCGATGAAAAATTTTGAATAAAAAATTATTCTCCCTGAGGAAAGAATTATCGGGCATCCAGAATTGAATCCAATTAATCACAGACTGGAAAATAAATATTATCTCGTGCGTAACACTACGCCGGGTCATGGCCTTCAATTTTTCAACGCAAGATTGAGTACCACCGTTATCCGACAACGTAATTGTTTCAGTAACATACATCAATTTTTCACCAGGTGGAGTTTTGGGTAAACAGTTTCACTATTTTATTTTTCAAAATAAAATAGTGAAACTCCTCTGTTTTTCAATAGCGTCTCCTATAAATTAACAGGAAGAGATAGATAAGCTGAATACTTTCACTTTTGGCATTTTTTCCTCTTCTATGTCAAACTTCTGACAGCCGAAACTGCCATTGCCTTCTCATAACTTTTACACTTTGCTTGGTTACAAACTTCAAAAAACTGCGATTTCTATAACTTAGTAGATAACAATGAATTACTTGTTAACTTTAACATAGCTATCTCTAATGGATAATTTTGCTGGACCGTTATTATTAAATGCTAGCTTTTTATCTTCCTTTTAATGAGTAAATTTTAAGTGCATAAAATGTGTAAAATTATTCTGATGATCAAGTTCAGAATATTGGTTCTTAGACATCTAAACCATGTGATAAACTTCCAGAAACAATCATATGAATTCAATAAAAATTATATTTTTTTAAGTGTAAACTTTGTAAATATTATCGTATGCACAATTCACGCACATAAGTATCGCCACTGAGGGAGGGGTTTAACAATGGACCAATGAGCTTCTATTGCTCTTGTTACCTGAATTTACTGTCGATATTGGGCGCATGTTGTTGTTTACGTTTTATTTTGCACTTGTTTCGCAGTTATATATGTATGACGTAATATTATATACGTATGCTACAATTTTATTAGAAATTCTCATAATGCATTCATTTCATAAGTTTATTTAATCATCAACATTTCACTTTCGTGGCATATCATCGCTCTTTATATCGAGAAAATGACTCAAGATACAATTAGACTCGAATATTATGCGTTTACTAACACTTGTGGATTACGGGAATTCACGTGTACAGATTTTAGAGCTGAAAACAACTGGAAGTGTTACAATGAATGTAGTATTTTTTTATCTCAATGCTTGCATTCCTTTGTTTCTGAAAGCGTAAGATTCGAAATATATATTGTGAGCCATCTTAATATACCTATTGATGACAGTAAAAGTTACATATCAATAAATTAAAAATATTCGTGGCGAAGAGAATTTCTTGTACAGCCAAAATATGAACCGTTATTAATGTGAAATTCAACACACTTAACAGGTGTGAATGCAAATTAGGAAAATTCACATTGAATAAAACAGTGCTTTGACTGTTTTTATAGAACATCTTTTTCATACAGACTGCAATAAAAATTGCTTACCCTTCTACTACTTACATGTATAATTGTGCTTATATTTGATTTAAATTCGTAGTAAAAATTTTCACAAGACATCCACAATGCTTCAATTACTTTTAAAATTAATACAGGAAATTGCATGACAAATCATTTTCAGCCAT